ATTTAACTAAATGTTTTTACTTAAATTTGTACTCACAAGAAATGTTTCCATTCTTGTGATTAAATTAACTACGAAATATTCACTCTTATTGGCGTTAGTTTAAGTCGCTTTAATATTTATATAATGAGCATTTTCTAGGTGCCAATGGCGAAATTATTTTACCAGGTTACACTTTGTGTCAGGATTTGCGTTTGTTGGCAGGATTTGTGGGTGTAGTCATCGTGCTGTTGGTCACTTGTGTTTCATCCTTAAATTCGCAATATCTATATATTCTATCACAAAATGGTTGAGCCCTTTAGTGTGACTTATTTTTGAAGTGTGGAAGAAAGATTTAAAGAAATAAGAGATCATCACAGTTATGTAAGGCAATTAACATTATTTTCCTGGCTGCCTAATTTTGCGTACATATCTGCAATGATCTTTGATGAATTTTGAGGGGTCACGTGAATTGTCCCTTAAAGGGTGTGTCCGTATTAAAGAGGTGCCCGTATAGAGTAGTTGGACTGTACTATATACCAGTCTTTCTAATGTATTGCCATGGCTATCACAAACTAGGCTTTTGGCCGACTAAATAATATCACTTTGCTTTGATTTCAGGATCTGCGCATTGCTACAACAGTGGCTGTTGTCATTGGTCTTTTTGTCATCTGCTGGGCACCTTTTTTTTCCTTCAATTTTGCAATTTATGTTTGTGGAACTAAAATGTGGATGACAACTGGTTGTCAGGGGTTTTCGAAACTGCCAGTGGTAGTTCTTACGATAATTAAATGGCTCCAGTATGGGAATTCCGTTTGTAACCCCATCATTTATGGCCTCCGTAATGAGGAATTTCGACGAACATTTCGCAAAATTTTGCTGCGCCTCTGCTGCAAAAAAGTGCGGATAACAGAGTATGACAAGAACGTACTTGAAGGCATTCGTAAAGCACAAAGCACTTCCGTTCTACGTGAGGCAGGTTGTGAATACGTGCATCTGCGATCAGTCACCCCTTTGTGCCAACTAGTGCGAGAAGGCTACTGTCGAGCGATTCAAAGTGATCACAAAATTAAACTGGAGATCCCGGCAACAAAGAGTTTGGTAGATCGTTTTCAAGAGCAGAACGAAAATCGTAAATATCACAGCCCTCCCCTTGATCTCATATCGGCCTCCAATCACTTGACTTCGACTTAAACGTTCGCCGTTGCCGTACCTTCAACTGAGCCGGCCTTCGAAACCCAGCCTTCGAAACGGACCTAACGGAAACTGGGGGCGCAACATGACGTGTATGCCGCATGAACGTCACACTGAGGCTTCCTTCCACAAGAAAGGCCCGCGTTCAGCTCACATATTCAAAAGACGTAGACAACGGTAAAAAATCAAATTGAGACCATCTCTACCGTAGTATTACATTAACTGTGTTTTCCATCCAATTTCCCAGACAATTCAAGTTAAACTTTTACGAAAGCGGCCTGAAAAACCTAAATAAATGCTCAACTTTTAAGTAGTAATTTACCAGCAGTGTTTTTAAAGAGCTGCTCTAATAAATACTCTATTGAACTACCTAGCTTGGTCCGTATTGAGAAATATTTGTCTCGTTCTTTTTTTGAAAGTTTATAGACCTTGCCGCAAACCATATGCTAGTTAGCAAGCTCACGTTTGGGGAGTGCACGAGCGAGCAGTGAAGCGACAGACCTCGCTTCGCTCGCCGACTGGGTTGCTCACGGGTGTGACTCAAAGGTGAGCCTGTACGCAGTACAAACTTACAAAAAAAAAAAAGAACTCGGCCAATGTTTCCCCATTACGAACCTCAGGCTGATTCAGTAACGTACATATTTTGGTTCCGAGGCTTTGGCGAGTGACATCGAGGTTGAGTAATGAATAAACGTTTTGTTTTATTTTCCACAAGCTTAGGGGTCGCGCCTATCACCCCTTTAAGGGTGGTTTCCAGAGGATCATTATGATCCTGCGATTGCTGAGGAAGAACGTTGAGTGCTCCGATCGCTAGAGGATGAAAAAATTATGTTCGAGATGATCTAAATCAAACATTGACGCAATGCATTCAGTCATGTTTACTATCGCAACAATTGCTACAATCTCAGGAGAGTGGTTGGGACATGATAGCAACGATCACTACGATCTTTGAGACAAAACCGAAGTCTTTGCGGCTGACGATCATTGTGACCGCTGAACGTTTCTTTATCAGGGATGGTAGCCGATCATTTGGAAAAAAACCTTAAATGACTGACAGTGCATATAATAAAAGAACAGCTTTAGTGAAGTAGTTTTCGTTTTATAAAGTTTAAAATTTACATTAAAATTTGACGTTCCGAACATCTTGCTACCTGTCGACTAATCACTAATGAAACATTCGGGTTAAGGTGACTCTTTTGTGATGATAATCTGAATATGGAAGCAGGAAACTGATGTTCGTGCGTCAAAAGTTCCGTTCTTAGAAAAACGTCGATTTCAGTCATGTATTTTCCAGGTTGGCTGTACAATTTCTCTTTCAGCCTCTAGAGGTAAGGAAAACTGATTGATGGTTTTCTAGATTATCAATCTCATTGTTATCTTGTTGGTCTGTTTTTTTTCCGTAATGTATGAGATATATTTCCGTGTTTTCCTATTGCAAGATAGTTTGGGTCTCGACATTTGACTGACTAACCTCCACCGTGTCGTTATTCTAGAAAAGCGTGTAAATGGAGGATATTACATGCCCGCGCGTGGATACGAACTTTATCTTCGAGTGTTCAACTCGATATCTCACGAGTGAGCGCAGAGAACTCGTGAGATATTGAGCTGAACACGAGAAGATAAAATTCGTATCCACGCGCGGGCATATAATATTCTATTTATTATATAAACATATTAATGAGGACGTTTTTAACGATTTCCCGAAGATTTCCGACCGCTTTCCCAGGATTTCCGAAGATTTTCCAAAATTGTTCCGAAGGCCAGAAGAACGCTTCCGAATATTTTCCGAACATTTCCGAACATTTTCCGAAGATTACCAAAGATTACCGGAGATTGCCGAGGACGACACTTTATTTGTCGGTGGTAGATCATATCGTTCCCCATTTCGCTAGCTAACAATTAAAAGAGCAAATAAAATATTGTAATCATACATATATACATGAATCACCTTTATTTCACCTCGGATTTACGAGAGTAGCTGTATAGCTAATTTCTCCGAGAAAATAATAAATAAAGGAATAAATAAATAAATAAATAAATAAAATAGTATTGATAATAAAAATAAAAAATAAAATCGCATGTTATATACAGTACAATAATCATAGCCATGATCACAATCAATTGCATTATGATTCCCTCTAGCTCGCTTTTAGCAAAATTTAATTATATGTGATGCAAAAAAACTTCCTAAAAGAAGAATGAATCATGATGCATTTCAGTGTAATCATGCCTAACATATTTCATAACAGTTTTGTAAGCTGGCGAAATAGCAACCGATATGATCAATGACGTCTGATTAGTTTTCCTCCCTCTAGGCGTCCAGTTAGTTGGAGCGCAGCGCAAAAAATGGCGCATGAAACCTTTCCCTGATATTTTCGCTCACCGTTAGCTCCGACTAACTGAACGCCTGGAAGAGGGCTACTTACTGGTTCAAAGGTTGCCTTATGACGAATATAATAGCCGAAACCGACGCAACGTAGGATGATGTTTTGAAGGTGTACTATATTTCGGATGGCCAAACCAGCCTTCTTCAGGTACAATGAGAATTTTACATTGGGACGTGTTTTTATGAAGCATATTTTCGTAATACCAGAAATACGTAAAATTAACTGACGGTGTAAATTAAAGATAAGCTTACGGTAAAATGAAATAATGAAATAACATAGTAAAAGAAAACAATTTATTTGTTTCTTAGCGGATGTTCAGACCATCGGGATCAATTGCCTTTTGCCTTTTGACACACACTATGCAAATATACATACCATATTATTTATTGCAATATAGTGAAAACATCGGCAGTTAGACAGAAAAAAAAATATCATACATGTACAAATGTTTTACAGTTCCGCACCGTGTGGGAATCCGATTTAACAGATTAGAGATATTCCTGATTTTGCGTTTAAACTGTAAAGAACCAGTCGACTACGAGAAGTCGGTTTTTGTTGCTGATATGCATCGTGTCCCACTTGAGTTTATTTCGAAGAATTCCTTTGCTTTGTCGTGAAGATCAACAGGATAATGTACTGAGTTGAAATCATGTTTTTGTGCATAAAACCTTATATTGTCTGTAGTGAGCTCCGTAAAACTGGAGCAACATATGAAAATGTTATGTGTCCGTACGTCCTAAGATTACATTTAGGAGTAACAAGTAGGGATTTATTGGAGAAGCGTAATGATCTAACGGGAACATATGGTTGTAATAGTTCGTTTGAATAAGGAGGGGCACCACCATTAACAACAGCAAAAGAAAAATTTTGAGATCTTTTCTCTCGGCAACATGGCGGCTGTTTGAATATATGTCATGACTTTATTAAGAAGTTATAATATGTCATACTCGGTTTCAACCGTCTCCACCCTGTTGTTCCTGTTTGGTTTATAAGTTCCCCTTTGCTACCCTAATATCTTCAGGTTCCCGACGCTCGAAACTAATTTTGTGGATCGCAAAAAATGACTCAAAAGTAACTGCTCTGAAAATATAGGACTCTAAACATACCTTTTTACAGGCTTCAATAATTTTGAAGATCGAAATACGGCACAGTAATTAAGCTTTAACTAAAACTACAGGACCCTCAACATACCCTCACTTATTTTCTTAAACTCATTTTCAGGATTTTAATCCACTATGGTCTAACCTTTTACTTTAAACGTAAGACGTCCTTTATTCTAAATCCGTCTGTCCTAATGAAATTGCAAGTGATAAATTTATTTTTCAGACGACGACACCAACAGTGGCCGAAAACACGACATCTTGGAACCGAACAAACGACACAAGCGGTACGTGCCATGGGCCGAGTAGCTGGTCTCCACCTCGTCAAATGACTACAAACTAAACCGTCTGTTTTGGTGTACTTGCCGTGTTGATCGTGTTTGCCAACTTGCTTATGATTGGAGCATTCCACGTCAACAGGCGACTGCGTACAAGAACTGACTTACTGTTGATGTCTTTAGCAGTCGCTGACATGCTAGTTGGAACAATCTCGTTGCCGCTATGGGTGTATCTATCCGTAACGTTTACCGATAAAGGACTAATCTGCAAGGTGTATTTGATTGTCAATGTCATCTGTGGAGTATCATCGATACTAAATATGACAGCTGTCAGTTTGGAAAGATATTACGCACTTCGCAGACCGATAAAACATCGCAACATCAGAAAAAGTATGCCACAATTTTTCAGCATTTTAAAGCCTTTTTCTTTGATAAATCGATACGTCCCCTCTTTTTCAGTTGTTAAAATGATCATTAAAGAAATACACTCTATCATTGATGACCGAGGCATGGTCATTTTCCTAACATTACAAGTTATCAAAAAAATGCTATAGCCGGTTAAAACGCTGTTAAACCTATGTTAACTCAAACTAGGAGTTAGGTGACACGCATTTATACACTCGAATTGTAATGAGCAGGTCAAGATTCCACTTTCCACAAAGTTTAAAAAGAAATTATGACAATAAAACTTAAACCGGCTAGGAACCGGTCAGCTACAAATGATATGCTTTTATGCTTGAAAAAAAACGTTCTATGTCATTGATTTTTTCAACTTCATTTTATTTATTTATTTATTTTTTTGCCCTATATTCGAGCTTATTCTGGCATATCACTACGTAGTCATAGGGGCGGATTTTGGTGGGAGTGGTTTTGAGTGGCTAGCCACCACTCTTTTGGAGAAGCAAAACACAAAAAGAGATTGAAAACGATGGTGAATGTTATGGAAACGCTCTGGACAGGTACGTTTGTAGTAATTTCTACTTTGTGACATTCGTAGTGTATCTGTTGTAAAAGTTTTCAATTAGGGACCGTTCATTTTTTATAAGGTAGGGGGTGCTGGTGGGATTTGGGGGGGGGGGC